AACAGCGGAACTTTGTAACTGAACAAGAAATTATGTCTGTTTATAGAATTAAAGAGAATGTATTATCACATAAAAAACGAAGCAACTTAAACAACTTACATTGAAAGAAATGTTTAATAAAGTAAACAAATAAATATTAAGCTTTTTTTTTTTTTTTTTGTAAATTTTGATACCCTTTAGATCATAATTGTTCTTTATTTCGTAAATTACGGTTTCATATTTTTAATTTTATAATTTCTGCATGCCATTTTACCAGATTTAAACTGATGATCTATAATCCGGAAAAATCGATAATCCGGAATCGCCGAAGTCCCGACGAGTCCGGATTAACGACTTTTGACTGTATTACCTTTTTTTTAGTGCGATGGTAGTCTTAACATTTTTCTTCATTGCTTACCTTTTCTTGTTAACTTTATGAACACTCATTGTTGATGTACTAATCAAAACTATACATGAAAAAACACAAAATTGCATGGACTTTTCTTGTTAGCTTACTTAAAACACAACACTCTTAATGTACTTATAAAAAATACATACAAAAAAACACAAAATTGAATAAAAATTCAGAGTGTAAGTTGTTTACTGATGAGCAGTAGCAGGAGATGTTCTGATGCTCATGGGCTATCTTAGCATTGTTTGAAAAGAGGTAAATAAAGGTAGTATTTGCATTCATAACTCGTTGAATGAGTCATATACCAAATAAGGAACAAACAGAAATTCTTGCATTCAAACAATTCTTGCATTCTTAACCATTTTGGGCTATTTCAAAGCAGTTGTATACTGAGGTAACCGCCGTATAAAAGATAGAGTTCTAATATAAACTTAAAATTTGAAAGCAAATGGAAAATAAATATTATTAAATAAATATTTCGATGTTTATTGTATATCAGATAATTGAAAAATACAGTTAAAAATTTATTATAGAAAAATCTAAACTTCTCAAATTTGTTTTTGTAAAATGTGTCAGAATGTACACCGCAACACACACACAAAAAGGGGGGACAGTTCTATATCTGCCGTTCTACTGGGCCGATAGACAAAATTCAAATTGCGCGTTTTATTGTCTCGAAAGCGCGACTTAGGATATATATTAGATTTATATATAGCACTATTCTAAAAACATATTTTGACACAAAATCTGTTTTCGAATAACATAATAATTTTTTACATTTTGATTTAAGGCTCTTTATGTGACGCAAATTTTTGAAAATCGTCAGTAGTTTTAAAAATAGCTCTCAAAATTTTAGCTCCTCAGAAGAATGGCACATATTTATATACATCAAAAGTCGTTAATTCGGACACCCATAATCCGGACCTCAAAGCTACAAACTTTCTGCGCATGCGTCGCGTTGACGCATGCGCGTAAGACCTTTACCGCTGCGAATTTGCGTGTGCGCGTGCGCAAAATACGTTTACGAATGCGCGTTTAATGTATAACGGACGGGATAAGCTAAGCTAAAATTATCTAATCTATTTCAGTTAATGTTGCAGATTGCGTTGTTCCTTAATCTTCGAATTGGATCCGGATTATTATTTTTTGCAGACTGTTAGAGCAATTTTATAAAAGTAAGCTTGAACTTTCGATTATGTCAAATAGAATTTCCGATATATATTTACTAATATGTAAAGGATATACAAAGCGAAAGTATCTTTCGGAGTCCATTAAACAAAAAGTGGAATTGCTGCAAAAAATGGATAAAGGCATATCCTTTGTTTATCTAAACTTTGTTTATCTTTAACGCCGCAGCCGAGCCGGCGTCGCACAATGAATTGGAAGTTGATCTGTCAGCACTATCCTTATCTTCAGGGCAGATGTTTTTATTTTATTTGGCTTATAATTGCTTACTCAATGTAGTATTTCATCTCGTCTTTGATATGATTTAAATCAAATGCCTCGTCATTATAATTCGCTTCCGATAGCGAAGAAAGTGACAGAGGTTATTGAAAACGAAAAAATTTCGATTGACAAATTAGTCGGTATTCTCGACACAGCAATTATAGGACTTGAACAGCGGAACTTTGTAACTGAACAAGAAATTATGTCTGTTTATAGAATTAAAGAGAATGTATTATCACATAAAAAACGAAGCAACTTAAACAACTTACATTGAAAGAAATGTTTAATAAAGTAAACAAAAAATATTAAGCTTTTTTTTTTGTAAATTTTGATACCCTTTAGATCATAATTGTTCTTTATTTCGTAAATTACGGTTTCATATTTTTAATTTTATAATTTCTGTATGCCATTTTACCAGATTTAAACTGATGATATATAATCCGGAAAAATCGATAATCCGGAATCGCCGAAGTCCCGACGAGTCCCGGATTAACGACTTTTGATTGTATCTCTGTTTTTATTAAACTTTATATATTTTTTCCTTTCATACTTCGAAATTTAGGTTCATTCCAAGTAAAATTCACCTATGTTTTGTGTTTTATTTTTAAAATTTCTATTTTTAAATAATTTTTTAATTTTTCGAAAAAAATTTGAATTATAACCTATAAAATTTTTACCATCATATTAAAGTAGGTGTAGTTCTAAGCATACCTGCAAAAAATTATATATTTTTACATTTTGAAATTTGGCATCTTTTTTTTGAGCGATAATAACGCCAAATGTGGTTTATGGATTTTTGTTACAGTGAATTGCAACAGCTATTTTTAACCTAAAATTTCAAATAAATTTTTAGGTAGAATTAATTATATGAAATTTTTTCCAGAATGATGCGTATTAAATATTTATTAATACTATATGAAAAGCTATTTTTTTTAAATTATCGATGATATCATTAAAATTTTTAACTTTTTTCTTTCCCCCCTTTTTTAAAAAATTTTGTAAGAGTAAATTTTTACCTTCGCCGTGTTATCATCTGCTACTATATTTTGACTGGATTGTATTTTACTTAGATTGTATTTTTACAATGTTTTTAAGTAAACAGGACATTGATAGTTTGAGTCATGTCCCAGTTTTAAAAATTATATATATAAGTATAAATTTTTACATTAATCCTCTTCGAAAGAATGTTTTAAGTAGCTAATTTTCTCTCGTGTCATAGATTGTATAAAAAACATAATCTTTCATGTGATTTAGATTGTTTGTAGCCGATATAATAATCGGGTTACTCAGTGGTACAGAATAAACATTGCTGGACTGTTTTATTTTTTTTGTCATTTAGCAAAAAATCTTTTAATTAAGATATTTATCCTTTGAAGTTTGCTTTAATGCTTTAAACTATATTTATAATTAAAATGCCTAGAAAATGAAAAGCTGTCTTCAACTGAAATGCAGTTGATGTAATTGATATTAAAAAAAAATGACAGGAGTGCAAAATTTATGGAAGTGTAACAATCAAAAAATCTTAATTTTCTTGTGGTGAGCACTGAAAATAAATGTAGAAGGAAAGAAGAAAATTTTAGGGAGAAAAGTAAGCAAAAATTTGAAGGGGAGTTTGGCTGTCAGAAATATTAAGGTGTTTCGAAAAATCGGATGCTTTTGAATATACTTTCAGAATACTTCAAGGAATTTGGGTGTTCAAAGGGAAAACACTTGGATGTGTACACCAGCAAATACCATCAATTGAGCTTGTGCTAACGGAAAAGACAAAAACGATATCATTGCAGATTAAAGTGAAGAGTGACTGGTTTTCAACTAGATGTTTGTATAAATTTAAATTATGGTATAGAACATCATATCACCATAAACAGAGAATTCCATGATTTCTTAGTCAAATTATTTGAATATTGAGGAATTTATTCAGTGATGTATGTGGATATGATCCCTCTTGATGAAAACAGTCTTTCCTTCTCATGCCTTCAAAATGCTTAGCCTCTAAACACTGATAAAGGCTCTGACCAAATACTGATGAAATGGATTGAATTGGATTATTAAGTTACAGCAAAGCAGGGCTATCTGCCCTAAAAGGAGGGATGCCTTTGTGAACTTTCTAAGGGAAACCAGCTGGCATACACATTACAATGAGAAAAACGACGAAAATACCCATGCAACCAGCCCGTTCGCCGGTTGCTGATATGCATCATAGTCTGGGACACAAAGTATTCTTCCGAAAGAAACACAATTCAAATAAATAAAATAAAATCCTGGAAATTTATATTAATAAATGTATTTAAAGTGCTCAGTTCGAATGAATAAATGGAAAATTTGAAGAGACAATACAACACAAACAATTAAAATAAAAGTCTAAAAATTACCTAAAATAATAACTGTGTCAAAAAAAATTATAAAGAAAACTATTCGAAAAAAAATAAACAATGCACCTTATATTTAAACTATGCAGTTCGAATGGGTAAATGAAATTTTTTAAAACAGTTATTCGAAAGAAACCATGTTATTTAAACAATTAAAATGAAATTTGAAAAAGAATAAAAATATTTAAAATAATAATATAAAAATATAATATAAAAAACAGTATTTGAAAGAAAGAACGTTGTGATTTTTTTCCCTCTCACGGGAAAGGAAAATAGATTTTGGCATATATTAACAGGTTCACCAAGTGAACTTTTCTTGGCGCAAACTGAAAAAAAGAGCGCCAACATAAATTTGTGAATTTCTCCATAAATTTCGCACCAAGTTTTACAAAATGTCATGTTTGAGCATAATTTTAGTTGTAGAATTGAAATATAGAAAAAAATCGGTATGTTATTTCAGAAAAAGTCCGATTTCGTGTCAAAATAACTATGTTAGAATAGAGCTATATATAAATCTAATATATATCCTAAGTCGTGCTTTCGAGGCATGAAGAACGCAATTTGAATTTCGTCAATCGGCACAGTAGAACGGGAGATATAGAATTGTCCCCCTTTTTTTTCTTCCAGTGTACATAAGTATGTATGACATCATCTTGGGTAATTCTGTATGCATTAGATATAAATGTGCTATGATTTTTTTGGGTAGTTTGTTGTTTAATTGTAGAAAGTTTTATAATTTTGGAGCGTATACTTATTATGTAAATAATTTCTTCTTTCTTTCTTCTGTTTTTCAGACTTTTAGTTTAAGCAAAAAATCATACAATGGTGAGTATTTATTTATTTGATGATTTCCTTTTTAAACTTATATCTTTGAAATTCTTATTATGTTAATTTGATGATAGTATATTATTTTAATATTCTCATAAGTTAAAGTGGTACATATATATACATTTTTTTTTTAAGTATACCAAATAACATTTGAACTTTAAAAAGAGTTACATTGTAAAATTAACAGATCATTTGCAAAATTAAGATTGATTACTTTTTTAAGGGAGTCTCATTGTATCTTCTCAGTAATTACTATAGCCAGTGATAGCTTATAGAGCTTAGCTTGTTTGCTTTAAAATAATTTTAACTCCGAGGCATGACTGCTTTTATCTGATCACAAGATTTTTAGTCAGTATAGCTGATTAAGTAACACTCTGAATAACAGTTATTGGCGATGTTAAAGCAACAAGAATCTGTGTTATATTAAAAAATTTGCAAAGCTGGTTTCGAAGAATTAAATATAGAACATTTCTTCTTTATCTGCGGAAGTTCAAAGAAAAATACAAGTCTGTGCTCAGACTATATAGGTTTAAATATAGAACATTCTTCTGCCGCTGAAGAAGTTCAAAGAAAAATACAAACATGTGCTCAGGCTGTAAGAATAAGAAGTAGGAAATGAAGCTGCTAATGCCATTAAAAGTGCAAATGGCGAAAGAGAAGTCTGTGCTCAGGCTATAAGAATGAGAGGCAGAAAATGAAGCTACTAGTATTATTACCGCAGGTACCAGTATCCCACAGCATGCCACTAAGACCTGCAACTGCAACTAAACTTACTCAATGAATCCTATGTAGTGTTAACCCAACAAAGTATTTTGCACTCGGTCATTAAATATGCGCTGCTGTCATGCTAGATGTTTGTACATACTAGTTTCTAATCATTCGAGTGTATAAGCTGTATCTGTGATTTTTATCTGCTTTTTAGTGAAAAAAAGGGCAGCTTATACACAAGAGAATATTGTAATATCCTTTTTTCAGACAGAAACTGAATATTTTCATTTGGTTTCCCCCTTCTCTTTGTAGCTGTGGACTGGTTTATCAAAAGTAAACTAGAATCAATAGGAGGCATTCTAATTGTCTTTCAAGTGTGATAGTGTAAAGCACTTTTCATTTGAGAGATATAAACAGGGTTCCTACGGTCCTTAAGAGTACTTAAAAGTTCTTAATTTTTTTGGAATCAATTTTTGGTCCTTAAAAGTCCTTAATTTTGGCCAAAATCAGTAGAAGGTCCTTAATTTTAATCATCTGAAATTTCTGTCTGTTTTGACTGCCATTTTGAGTGTGAATTAGAATTTTAGAGGAATATTTTTCGTGATTCACTGATGTATATATGTTTATCTTTTGAATGGGTTCTTGAGTTATAATTTGTTTCTATTTCTAATATAAATGATGGGATACTCGGAGTTTCTAAGCAAGAAGTGGAACATAAGCATTTTGAAATTCATTTTGGTGGTAAAGAGCTCTTAAACAATTTTCGTTTTTGGAGATGTGAATTCTCTTATTAAATGTTTCTAAATTTGGCTACTTGTTAACATTTTGGCGATTTTAAGATCAGTTTCCATAGAAAATTTGTAATCTGAGAATTTTTTGGCAATTTATTTTAAAACATCATAACATTGGTAAATTTAATTAAAATAATGGTAAAAAAGTAACATTAAAATAAAACATTTTAATTTTTTGCTGTCATATTATAAAATTTTATTTTGGCAACTTATTATACAATATTTTGAATCTGAAAAATAAACAAGGTATAATGCTACCAAGCTTAATTTATGAAACAGCTCTTAGCAAAAGCAAAATTAGCTATGTAATTAATTAAAAATGTCCACTTTTTAATTTTTTCATAGTAAGAGTTTTTTCCCATGTGATTGCCTCAGAATATTCAAAATTTTCAGAATATGCATCAGTTTTCTCTATAAAATTAATTTTACACCTTTTTCCTCCTTTTTTTTCCCAAAATATTTCTGGCTTTTTGCTGTTACAGAAATGGTAGTAATAATTTTTCTTTAGGATTTTAGACACTGCAGCTTGGAAAGTTTAGAAGGATTTGAAGACAAGATTTATAGACTCATGATTAGGTTCGAGAAATATGTGACAAAATGAAAAATGTCTCCATGGTATCAACACATAATGAATGTATTTTACAGAAAGTTTGCAATGAATTTCTTACTTTTTGGAGAACGTCTGGAAGAACAATGAAAACATAATATTTGAATGTTTTACTTCTAATACTAGAATCTTAACATGTTTATCTTCACTTCATTTTCTCTAGATATTAAAAATGCTTGTAATCTTATCACATGGGGATCACATCGCAGTAATAGAAAGGTTTTTTTTTTTTTTTAAATTAATAAAAGAAATAGAAAACTTCCAATTTAAAAGATTCATTTCATATGTCTTAATGCATCATACACATAGCTGGCACTAGGCATTTTCCCACCTTATGCAATGTCTGTGGATCCCAAATTCTGCTGCCTAGTGCCTTTCTAAATTCTTCTTCCAATGCCTGCTCTAAATTCCAAAAGTTTTGCTATTTCTAGATTTTGTTGTTTGGTGTGTCGCTCAATTCTAAAAATTCTGCCGCACCAGCTCTGTAACCGTATTACCATATATATTTCATATTACTAAAGAAATTAAATTAGTCACTTTTTCTATACATTCTAAATGCATTTAGTGCTTTTTAAAAACACAGAAATCCTTAATTAAATCCAAAAGTTCTAAAATGAAAAGAAAACATGCTGAAGAAAGAAACTGAATACATAAAGAAAATTACCCAATTATTTATGATTTGAACCTTTACTATGATTTTACCGTGAGATGTAATTGACTTTATTAGCATCAGAACATGCCTTTATGTTTGTTCTAAGTTCGTTTTAAATAAGAGGCTTATTTAAACCTTTGTCTGATATTGCAGTTACTTTCAGACATAATGATAATTTGCTTCATGTCTATCGGGGGTTTTGGACTATTTAACTTTTACCAAATCAAGTAAACCCTCATAGTAGCACATTGTGGAAAGAGGTTGACAAGTTAGGAGATAAAGCACGCAGAAACTAGCGAGAGCAATTGGTTTGCATATTGAGACAAATCTCTAAGTTATTGTCAGAAAAAATGCTTAAACAGAAGGAAATCGATATAAACTAGCCAAAATGTTTGGGAAGGCTTCAAATTAAAATGCCGGATAAATATTTTGTTAAGTGTTGTTTTTACAAAGCATAAATGTTTTGTAGCTTTTAGTGTGTAATTATTCTAATATCGTTTAAGAATTAGTATTATAAATTATATGTATTTTAAAATGTGAAATTTTATTAGATTTTGATTTTAATAGGGCCTTTTTTCACAAATATTGTTAAAAAATAAAATTTAATAGTGGTCATGTAAATCCATAATGACTAAGATTACCTATTTACCTAATTTAATTATTTATAACTAACTGCATACCCTGAAAAATTATTTCTACATATTAAAGTGAGTTTTTGCCTTTCATTAATATTCACTGTACAAGATAAAAACACAAAAATGTAGAAATTCAAGAAAACTTATTCTTTGCATCTAGTGAGACTTGATACAAAACAACTTATCTCCTCTGGTGCTTTAATTTTAATGGCTTATTGGAACCTGAAAGTATATTAACTGGGTTACAATCCCCAGAACTCTACACAAAGCTATGACACTAACTGCATCAAACAGAGTCTGACTAACTTTCAACACTTGCCAACTGTGCCTACATCAGGCCTTTCAGGTTTGTTCAAATCAGCAGGTCTCCCTCTAGACAAGCAGCAGCGGTGATAACATTCAGTCTTTTGTTATAAATCATGCTGATTATGATCTTACTTCTCATTTTAACCTATGCTGTTTGACAAAACCTAGCTGCTTTTACTAAAACTCTAGACCAGCGGTTCTCAACCTTTTGACTGACGTGTACCATCTAAACAAAAATTGAAAATCCTTAGTACCACTACTACAAAGTACTACCACCACCACCACTCTTGAACATAACTCAGATCGAATAAATTTATGAGTGTTAGAGAAAAAACTCAATCAGGATGTTGGGGTTTTAATTTTTGAAATAAATATTTAAAAATGCTTCTTTTGTGTACCACCTAATTTTTTCTTGCGTAACATTGGTCGGGAACCTCTGCTCTAGACTGATCAAGTATGTGACAAAATGAGATAAAAAAAAATCAACATAAAGCTAACTATTAGTAAAATGTAAATGTCACTTATTTTCTTTCAAATATGTCTAACCTATTATAAGTGTAAAATATTCAGTGCTACTTTATAAACTGCATAAAGTTTATTTTATTCTCAAACTTATTAATAATTATGTTAATTAATTCATGTTTAGTAATAATGCATACTACTTAGGGATCAATTTTATTTTTAGGATGGTATTACAAAAGTGAAATTCAGGCATAGAATAATATTTTTAATTGAATTTATTCAGTTCCCATTTGCTCATAGGTCCTTAATTTTTTTTTCATTAATGGTCTTAAAAGTACTGAATTTCGTAGCGAATTGTAAAAGCAAATTGAAAAGATTCAGTGATTTTTTTTTTTTTATGGTATGCTTTCTGCTTATTTGACAATCCGTGAAAATCTGAACGTGGGTGCCTAAGGTAGGCTGTATATTTTTGTGTATATTTATCAGGTTCGTACGGATTTTTGGTCCTTAAAATTTTTGGCCAAAAGGAATAAACGGTCCTTAATTTTGCTCATTTGACATTTCTTATCATTTCTAATGATTGCCATTCTAAGTGTGAATTACGATTTCTCATGAATATGGAATTAAAATTACACAGCTCTTAACTAATCTGTTGGCGGATTTGCATTGCAAACGATTAAAAAAAAAAAAAATTAGCTACCCGAACGAAAGTATCGGTGTCTGATTGGCTATTCACGCAATCTTTCGAAACAGGTGTTATCCATAAATTTAGGCAGACTGTGACGAAAGCGTGAAGCTGGAAGTTCTTTAAGAGGCGAAAGTGATGATGAAAGTGC